ACCTCTCATGTCAACTCTGAGCTACAAATCTCCTCCTTTATTTGCAATAACCCAAATCCCAGGTAACAGGAGCAAGTTAGAATTTGTTTCTCCTTTTACCTTTTCTCGGTGGGGCGACCCATCTCTTGTCAAACTTTCCCTGGGTTACAAACTTGTTTAAGGTGTGGGAATTCTAGAGGAAACTTGGCCTGTCTTGCTGTGGAATAATACCCTGCTGGGGTTGCCAATTTTTTTTCTTCCTTTTTGCAAAAAGAAAAAAAACCAATGCCTTGTCTTTCCCCCAAACCTCGGTATCATGAGTGATAGGCGCTTGTATTTATCACTTTAAGTGGCAACCTACCCTGGTGGACAGTGGAAAAACTAAGTAGGTTTGATACCTGGACCTAAAAAGACAGCTAAGAAATTTAGCCTAGTTGAGAAAACGTGCTGGAAAACCACTTCCATGCAATGTACCTGGCTCTTTCCACGAAGTCACTGAATGATAGTCGTTATTGTAGCCCAAACCAGGAGTGTTTTTTTTTTTTAAAAAATGGAATTTACATTCCACTTTCTATTTTTATAAACAACTCAAGGTGGCAAAAACAATGCTTTTTCAACCAGCTGGCTTTCGTGGCGAAGACGGAACTAGAACTCACAGTCTCCTGGTGATTGGTGCAAAGTCAGCCAGCCAGCTTTCACGGCTAAGATGGGACTAGGATTCATGGCTCCCTTTGCTTGTAGATTAATTACCAAACCAAACTGGCTTTCATTGCGACTATTTCCCCACAGCCACCAGCTAACTTTTATGCCTCTAAGGCAGGACCAGAACTCCACGTGTCAGATTTCTAGCCTGATGCCTTAACCTCTACAGACAAAACTAGCTCCTACACTTGCGGCACAAGAGGAAAAACAATGTTTTATTAGTTGCACAACCACAACCACATTTACCTAGATACAGGTGAGAGGTCCATGGGAAAGTTTGCCAGGAGGAGTTGAGACAAGCCCAAACGTTCAGACAAGTTAAGAAAACCAACAGTAACCAGCTTGCTACTTGGAAGAAAAACTTTCTGGAGTTAACTTTCCTCCTCCATGGTCCTCGGTCTGGAGAGTGGCTACAAAGGAAGACTGAGGTAGTCCCACCCCTCGAGGATTGATGTGGGCAGCCCGGGGCGGATGGGTTTATTTTATTTGGTGCTTATGATGGGTTTTCCCTCCCTCTTTATTCCAGGGAGGATTCAGGGACAGGCTGCCCAATAAAATCCCATTCTTAGCAGTTAAAAACCTAGGGGGAAAATTAGGCAGTTTCAATGGGGTTTTTCATTTTTTTTTAAAGGCTCAGTCGGTGATAAGGCAGATTTTCTTCCTCAGATTCTCATATGAAGACCTAGTTGGCTTATGTAGGGGAGGAAGTGAGGGGAGAAGGGGGGGAGAGAGGGGGGAGGGAGAAAGATGAAAGGGGAGATGGACCTGAGTGAAGACTTCACACAGTACTCTGGCTCATGGCTATGCCTACCTATTTAATCTGTGAGGACCTGAGTGAAGACTTTAGTCTTCAGTAGAACTTTCTATGTATGGGGGGGGGGGAGTGACAGAGGACCCAAGTAAAGACATGACTCTCTGTGTGTGTATGCCTGTTTTGTGTTTGTATCTTTGTCTTTTGTGTGTTTGTATTTCTTTGTATTTTTGTACAGTGTATATGTCTTTATGTGTACGTGTATGGGGGTTTTGGTGTGTGTGTGTGTGTGTGTGTGTGTGTGTGTGTAAAAATGAACCTGAGTGAAGACTTAATGTACAATAGTGTAGTTTATAGCTTGTGTATTTAATCTGTGAAGACCTGAGTGAAAACTTCATGTTAGAGAATAAATTTATATGGGGGGTGGGGGTAGGGGGGTGGAGAGAAAGAAAAGGGAGGGGGAGAAACAAGTGGACCTGAGTGAAGACTTCACAATGGAGAGAACTGTGGCTTATAGCTATGCCTATCTATTTCATCTTCATATGAGGACCTGAGTGAAGACTTCACAGTGCACAGTAGTTTATATCTTTAGAGAGAGGGAGGGAGGGAGAGAGAGAGAGAGAGAGAGATTGCTGTCAAAGAACTTGAGCCTAGGCCTCACAGTGAAGCAGAAATTTTTACCTCAGAAAGTATGAAGTGTGTTTGATTGTGTGTATTCATGTACTGCACATATGCATGGAGACGCATAAACGAACAGTACAGCCCCATCATAGTAATGTAACTTTCATCTCTCTTCATAATCTTTATGAGAGGACCTGACTGAAGACTTCATGGTACAGGCAGCATATCTGCCTGCCTAACTAATCCACACAGGAGGACCTGACTGAAGACTTCACTCTCCTTCCAGCCCCCAGGAGGATGTTGCTAGTTTACTGAAGCTAAGGAGGTCTGGATTTGAGGCCTTTTGAGAGTGGGGACCAAGCAGGATTTCTGTCTAGGGTTTATTTAATTTCTCTCTCTCTCTCTCTCTCTGTATCTAGTAAGCAATGTGGATGAAAAAAAATCACTTCATGCCTGTTCAGAATGAACACAGACAAGTCTGTCTGACTTAAGCAGAGGTCAAAATGTTAGACTCTCATAGCTGCCACCCCTTCAATACATTAAAATATAGATTTGAACAGCAGTGAAAAGCAGGAAGTGAGTTGGAGCAAAGTTGAGCAGATGAGTAAATTTTCCAGTTCTTCTACTTTGGCTTTAATTGAAGACCATGCTGTTTTTCACCCTCGGCCTCTTAAAGGATAATGTTTTTGGAGATTTGGTGGTATTCCTGTTCTCGGGGACAGAGATTAGAGTATGTCGAAATAACTCCCCCCAACAAAATAATATTTATTCATGTAGGCATTTTTTTAAAAAAATCCGTCATGAAATCAAGAAAGTCAATTACTGCAAGAAAAAAATCAAATAGAAACTCTCAAGGCTGCTGCAGTGCAGTGCAGGTCCTCTTCCTGAGGTACTAATTGTGTACTTGCAGAATACACATACACAAATGTCACAAAAATATTCAGAATTTATTTCATGAACAATCCTTTAACAAAGTGTTGTTCAATGTTTGTGGGCTTCAACTGAATTCCTTACGTGTAAACTCATTGTGTTTCCGTTGTTTTCCTTCCATTGAACTGGAATGGAAGGAGTTAACTGGGAGAAATAATCGAGCTTTAATTCCTGAAAAGTTGGGAAAAAAGAGCAGATTACGCTTCAAATATTTATTCTTTGGCTGCAAGAAACTGCTACTGGAATCTGCTTGGCTTTTTTTTTTCCTCTTTGATTTAATAGGAGTCAGATGATCAGCAGAACTTTATAAACAGAGGCTGACTTAGGAAATGTCGGATTGCTCGGCGCACAGTAAGTAACCATCGCCGCTTAGCAATTTCTTGGTTTTTAGCTAGATGTTTTTTTTTTCTCCAATCCTGATGCTCAGTTACAAGATTCCCTGCTTCAAGAGGCCTTGAACTGTTTTTGTCACCGAATTATTTTGGGATTCCCACCAGTTGAGAACAGCTGGATATGCGCACGCTCAGACTTTGACTTTTCAAATAAAGCATGTAACTACATCTTGCAACCAGAAAGCTAGCTTATCGGGGAACAATTCTAGAACAGCCCGTTCCTTGAAGGGTCTAGCAATAGCACTGAGACTTATATACCGCTTCATAGTGCTTTACAGCCCACTCTAAGTGGTTCAGAGTCAGCCTCTTGCCCCCAACAATTTGGGTCCCCATTTGACCCACCTCGGAAGGACCGAAGGCTGAGTCAACCTTGAGCCTGGTGGGATATGAACTGCCGAATTGTGGGCAGCTGGCTGCAGCAGAAGTAGCTTGCAATACTGCACTCTTAACCACTGTGCCATTGTTTAGTTATTGACTTGCAAGGAGTTTTCTGAAAGAATTTGGCAGGGGAGAGATCGGCAGTGAGATCCTACCTCTCAATTCAGAATGCAACCATTTCAAGAATCTCATCCTGCTTTTCTTTTTAAACTGAGGATAGTTGTTATTGTCGTTGTTTTCCTTCCTCTGTGCTAGAAGGTGGAGAGATGCAGGAAAGACGAAAGGAGGATGAAAGTTACACGGACAACGGGAACTTTCCAGAACTTCGTTGTGGAGCTAGGAAGCACACTGAGGACCAGACAGATGAGAAGTGTGGAGAGCCTGGATCTTCAGAAGGTCTACCTTGGCAGCCTGAGGAATCTGACTCCATCCCTTCCATCTTCTTGGCAGCCTTTCTGGCATTCGTCTTTGTCTCTGTTTCCATGGTCTTACTTTGTCACAAGACTGTCCACTTTTCTTTGAGGGACCCCAACACCTTGAGTCCCAACAGCGTTCATCTACCCAAGGAAGATGTCCAATCTCTTCCTCTCTTTTTCCCAAACCAGCCAGAATCAACCTGGGGAACATTCCTGCGATACGTGTGCAACCCGTTGGGGAAATCTCACCTGGAGGAGCCTTGGATCCTGGTTGGAATCGGCCCTGGAGATACAAGCCGGACCCTTCTCTGCTTCACAAAAATCATGCTCTCCTTACTGACTCAGCAAAAATCCATCCACATTGAGTTTCTGGACCCAACCAGCCCTTGGCTTCCTCCAATGGGTTCTTCTAAAAACAGGACCTGGGTGATCAGTAGCGTGAAGGTTCTTTGGGGACAAGAGAGTCTCCCTGGTGGATTGGTGGTGTCATTGCAAAGTATCCTGGATAGAAAAGGGGAAGCCACCAAGAAGGCATTTGCCCTCGTGGGGAATGGCGGGGAGCAGAGTCGGGAGGGGTCCCTGCTCCAAAGATTGACCCCTTCCTTGATCTCTAGAATTTTGAGCTTGAATCCCAATAGGAGATTGAGCAAGGTGATGATCGACCACGAGAACTTCCTCCTCCTCTTCGTCACATCTGAGCAATATTTGGAAAGTGGGTTGGTTTGCTGAAGGATGCTCATATGTGCCATGCCTTCCACAGAGAAGGATCTTTTAATCACCCGGGGACCGGTAGAATGAAAGGCCCACCCTGAGAAGGTGGAATGTCAATCAAATTTATCCGGGAAGTGAGAAAATTGCTATGATTTGTGAAGGGGCAAGGGTGAAGATCAATGTTGGGAAACTCAGGCTAGATACACTAGTAGAAATTTAGATTTGCAGCGGGCCAAATTATTTTCTGAAGCTTTATTAAGCCCCCATAAAAGAAAGGTGGAAGAAAGGTTTCTTTGTCATTAGGATCTGCAGAAGAGAATTACCTTAGAGCAGCGTTTCTCAGCCTTGGCCATCTTGGGAAGTGTCGGCTTCAATTCCAAGAATTCCCCAATCAGCAAGGAATTCTGAGAGCTGAAGTCTATCCATCCCAAGATGGCCAAAGCTGAGGAACGCTGCTCTAGATGTTTTCAGAACTAGACAGTAGGAAGAGTGTATCTCCAGATGTGATTCCATCTCTGGAAAGTTGAATAGAGGGCAATCTGGATGTATTACGTCAAAGAAGAGCATCATGGAAATACTTGTAGTAGAAGAAACCTCCTTTGTGTCTTTGCTGGTGTGTGTATAAATGTACATAGTGATCGTATCCTTGGTGCGTTTGGGGACAAAAAAGAACTGATTGTCCAGCCTTCCCAACTGCTGCAATCCAGACACGAATAAGTCTCAACAATTCTACTTGTGAACTGTGATGATTGGACACAAGCTCTGCTGCACCTTAAAAGCTACGTCGTTAAAACATGAAATATCTGGGACTCTTATTCGATGTGTATGATTATTTTTCAGGCGAGTGTCCCCAGATCTTCCAATAAAGGCATATCTGGCATTTTACAACGTTGAGCCTCTCTTTTGTTGTTTTCAACACCAACACACCTTCGTTGGCATGTGTTAAGGTTGGGAGGAAATGGGGGGGTGTAACGGTGTGTGAGAATGAGCTTTGGAGACGGGAGAAAGAACAGCAGGCCAAGCGATGGTCAGATAAGAGGTAGCTGAGCCCAGAGAAGGAAAAGGGGGCTGGGTGGGGAACACCTCAAAAGAGCCCCTCCCTAGTTTCTTGGGACTGTAAAAGGGAGTTTGGGGCAAGACGTACTTTCAGACTTGCAAGAGTCTGTTAATGTCACCTTACCATAAAGTTAAAGCTAGTACTTTTGGTGTCTTTCTCACTTGGACTACTTGGCAAGGCTGACAGGTGATGAGTTCTAGTCCAGCTGCTCTCGTTTCCACAGGGAATGAAATTTGGGGTGGGTGGGTGGGGAGAGAAACGCTGCATTCCTCGGATCAATAAACCTTCCTTCAAAAATGGTTCTTAGTTACACAGACCTTTGCCCGTGAAACCAACCGGGGTACCGAAGAGACGAAGAAACACCGCAAAACAAAAAAGATGGCAAATCCGCCAAAGTTTGGATTGCTACCTGGAGCCCGAGAGCCCACGGCGCCTACGGTTCTGCCACAAGGGGAATCTTAAAGTCTGGCAGCTACAAAGTGAGAAGAAGAGATGCGGGCTACCGGGTTCCCTTGCTTGGCTACCGAAAGAGAGAAGCTGCCGGAAGGATTTGAAACTCCACTGCCCTCTTTGGGTTGAAAGGCACGTTCTGGCTGAGCCAGAATTTACAGGTCGACAGAACAGGTTGTCCTTGTTGATGGGTGGGCTGAGATGTCGTCGGGTTGAAGAGAAGGCAGGCGGCTTCTGCAGAGTGGCCTCTGTTTCTCCCTTCCCCCCCAAGTTTGGGGAGGTGGGGGGAGAGAGAGAGAGAGAGAGAGAGAGAAAACCTCTGTTCATCTCTGTAGAGGACAAACGCCAACGGCTCCAAGCGGAGCTCAAGGTGTCCATCTCCATAGCAGCCTCCGAGAAGCCCTGCTGTCTTTGAGCTTCTGGTCTCCTTGGTTGCTGGAAATAAACAACAGCTGCCTCCTGTCCTCGCAGCGCTGAAAAACCACCCAAGCCCTGGGGGAACCACCGACAGACAAGGATCTTGTCCCGAAAGGGAGGGCTGGGATGGAAGATCCTTCTTCCTCTCCTCCACGGGTGGAGGGAGGCCCTGCCTCTTTCTTTGGGCAACCGGGAGACGCCTCTCCGCAACGTCTAGCCATGACAAGAGATGGCAAGGAGGAGGAGGAGGAGGAGGAGGAGGCCGTTGGCAAGGTGGGCTGAATGTTTTTCGGGGAGAAGAGGGCAGGCGGGAGAAGGGGCTGGGTTTGTGTGCGGTGAGCCAGGAAGGAGATGTGTCCCTGGTCGGCGCTTTGGGGATCCACTGCAGCTGTGCTGTTTTTAATCTGGAGCAAGCCATGATTTGAGGAAGGCTGTTTCGAAGAGATGTTTCGCTGATTGAATTGAGAGGTGGAGGGGTTGAAAAAAGAATCTGTGGGGATCTGGGTAAACTTTTCACAGGTGCAGTTTTGATGGTCGATGATGGATAGGAAGAGAACCAAGGGTGCAAGAAGGAATCCAGAAACATTTCCTATTGCAGTAGATTGTGGTTTAAATATAGTCAAGGGGAGGCTTGTCAAAGCTTCTGGGCTCAAGCCTTTAAAAGATTTGGAAACCTGCTGGCCATCCAAGTCACACACACACATATATAAGCAGCTTTCCAAGTAATTAATCATTTCTGATGTTTAATGGTGGAGGATTTAGGACCTCCCTCAGTTTGGGGGCCATCCCAGGCACTGAGAAAATAATCCTTGACATTCAACAAGTCTTTGTCTTGGGCAAGACAAGGAAATAATAGCGAAAAAATATTTAGAGACGACGCTCTCAATTTTTTTTGCCGAAGTTCCTGAGCAAACCGGAGAAATCAAGGGCGTCCTATTGATGCCTACGTCATGAGGGCTAGAAACTTGGGGGCCACAAGCTCATTTCCGCCTCCTCCCTTATCTCTGCGGTCATATCATAGACTCTCCGTCCCCCGGGGGGTGGGGTGAGGGACAATGGCTTGCTGTATTCTGTCACGCATTATGTCACCCAATAGCGCTGTATAAATAGCCGTAGTAATTCAAGCATTCCCGGGAGATTTCAGGCACGCCCAACCTTCATTCTTATTCTAACTTCTCTCTTCTGGTTTATTTATTTATTTTTTTCTCCAGTGATGGATTTCGTGCGCTTTACAGAAAGGGAGGGGGGGCCCTTTGGTCTGCCTAGCAATCCCACCCCCTTGCCCTCCTCCCAGGACCGCTACGAGAGTGATCTGCCCCGCTTCTGCTGGCTCTTTCGAGCCTCTTAAGTAATTTTTAATAAACAACAAGACTGTCGAGAGAGAGAGAGAGAGAGAGAGAGACCGGCTGAGCCAGGGGAAGGAGTCAAGCAGGGAATTAGTCTGGAATCTTTACGTGACCACGAGAAAAGGACGAATCTGGTTTCTCTTGGGACGCCGTTGAGGTGCAAATGGCCAGTCTGGAAAGAATTCCCGTGAATCAGCAATGAGTGATAAAGCCTCCCAACCGAACCCTTCGCACGTGGAGCAGGTCGTTCACGCCTGACAGAACCTCCTCTGTAGCCATGGCCAAAAACGTGGACGAGGAGCCAAGCTCGGTTTCGGAATGCCCCGTCTGCTGGAACGCTTTCGACAATGTTTTCCGGACCCCCAAACTCCTGCGCTGCGGCCATTCCTTCTGCATCGAGTGCCTGGCCCATCTCAGCCTGATCGCTGCCGCCCAGAACCAGCTGCCTTGCCCTCTTTGCCGCTGCCTGACCTTGCTGCCGGCCAACCAGAAGGTGACCGAACTGCCCACCAACGTCCCCCTCTTGCACAAGTTGGGCTTGGAACCCAAGCACGTCATCCTGGAAGGCCGGCAGCTGTGCCTTAAGGAGAAGCGCAAGATCAGGTACTTCCTGCGGCAACCCAGGGTCTACACCCTGGACCTGGGCCTGGACCCCGAACTAGGCACCCAGCCTTACTCCGAGAGCCCCCAACCGGCCACCGTGGCCAACACCCCCACCGTTCCTCGGCGCGCCCTTCTCCGTGAATGCATCCGGAACCCGCACCTCCGGATCTTCACCTACTTGATGGTCATTATCTTAAGCGTGACGTTGCTGCTCGTCTTCTCCGTCTTCTGGACAAAAAACTATTTCCCAGGTTTGGGATGAGGGAGAAGCAGACCTTGGGGAAGTTGATTTTGGTCGAAGGGTCTTGGGTGGTGGGGGTTCCCGCAGGGCTTGGGAACGGAGGAAGCCGGCGACGTGTTTTGGGAAGGGGGATACGATCCTCTGGCTGAAGAGCTCAGCGTCTGAATTTAGGGATTAAGGAGGTAGGAGAGATGATGGCTGTGATGACCGTTTGCCTACGTCCAAGGCCTGGGTCAAAAAGAGCGAGCTCTCCTCGGCAGAGAGAACACACTACAGAATTTGAGAATGGGAGATCGTACACTGACCAATGCAGAGATCTTAAAAAAAGAGTTTTGCTATTACCCTCGATTGAAAAAAAAAACCCACCAGCACCAACTGGTCTTCAGAAGTTGTAGGTGCTTCAACACTGGAGGGTTTTTTTAAAAAAAGACACTGGACATTCACTTGTCTGAAATGGTATATAGGGTTTCCTGCTTGAGCAGGGCGTTGGACTAGATGACCTCCAAGGCCCCTTCCGATTCTTTATTATTCTGTTACAATACTTAGCGGAAAGTCAAGTTAAATTTATCTTTGTACTTTAAGGTGCAGCGTTTGTCAATGCAAAAATGTGGACATCTGTACGTGTGGGAGAGAGAGAGAGAGAGAGAGAGAAATCAAGAGAATCAAATCGATCCTATTAAAGAAATGTTTAATTTTTTTTCCCCCTTCATCCTCTGGGCTGGTTTGCATCGTTTATTTATTAAATGCTCTTCTCGCTGCCCAAATATTACGAAGTTCACCAGGTCCTGTGTATCTAGCAAATGCATTCGTCCCCCATGGTCAAATTGTTTTGACTAAGATTAGGGGAGGTTTTTTTTTTTTAAAAAAAATAATAATTCTGGAAACCTGGCCTTTTTGGCATTCGATTTCAGTGGAGTGAATGCAAATGTGGGCTAATTCAGCCACCGTCGTCAATGCTGCCACTGAGTTACAACTGTGGGGGTTGAAATTAAATTTATGGAGGAGGGAGCAGGGCAGGAAGGAATCCAACTCTGGTTGCCCAGAAGGGAATTTAGAAGAAGTCATTACGCTCATTAAACGGGTGGCTGGTTAACACGAGGACTACCTGTCAGGCCCGAAGTTCAAAAGACAAAAACTGCAGACAAGGGAGGCTTGGAAAGAGACGCAGCCACTTTGCTTTAATACTTATTTTTTCTTTAAAAAAAAAGATCTCTGCCCAACAGAGAAAAGGACCCCGGTCCCAAACAGAGAGGCCCAAAGACCACCTATCTGAGGGGACCCCCCTGGATCCCCCGGAAGCGTGTCCATCCGAGATCAGCAAAACGCAGGGTAGCCAACTTTTATCCCCCGGGGTTGAAAACTGTGTGTGTGTGGTGGGGGGGTGTTGGTTTCCCCCCACCACGGCGAGAATCCGGAGCCCCACCAGAGAAGGAAGGAAGGAAGGATGTAAATAAATGCAAATGCAAGTTTCCTCGAACGCAGCTGGCCCAGGAGGAGGAAGTGGAGGGACTCTGCAGGCCGGGTTGCCGTGGGATTTCCCCGCCCTAAAACCCGGGTCGCCCCAGGGACGTGAGAAAGGGTCAGGCGTGGGTGGAAATACCCTGCTTATTCTGCCATCCAGAGCTTGAAGGTCCGGTCGTAGGAGCAGGTGGCGATCAACTGCCCGTCCATGGAGATGTCCAAGCCCATGACTTTGCCTTCGTGTCCGGCCAAAGTCTTCAAGGGAGACCAGCCCGGGTGGGTCCACACTTTGGCCGTGTTGTCGTAGGCCCCGGTCAGCAGGAAGTTGCCGTGATTCGCTGGAAGGAGGGAAGTACAGAGACGGGACTAGAACTCGCTGTCTCCTAGTTATTGACCAAAAGTCACCTAGCCAATTTTCAGGGTTAAAGTAGGAAGGACTCAGCATCTCCTGGTGATCGGTCCAAAGTCACCCAGCTGCTTTCATGGCTAAGGTGGGACTAGAACTCACCATCTCCTCGTTTCTAGGTTGAAATTTTAAGCACGACACGGAAGTGGGTATCTAGAAGGGATCTGCCCCACCTCTCTGCTGGGAAGTTGTGGGGTTTTTTTTGTCAGTTTGAAGCTTAACCTACATTTCCAAGGGTTTCACTCACCAACTGTTAACCAAGTTTGATGTGAGGCTGATTCGCTTTTCTTAAGACTGGGCAAAGCTGGCTGGGTGACCCCCCCGAGGGGCAGGCTAAGTTGGCTTAAAAGAACAAGGGGAGCTGCCCCATTGCCCTCAAATCTTAGCCCCATCCGTGGGGCCCCCCTCAGCCGTTCCCCAAAGTCCACGCTTGGGTTTTCAGAGTGAAGATTTTAGGCTCTTGGGGGGGCTGTGGTAGAGAGACGTACGTTCAAATTTTACTCCGGTGATCAGATTCTGATGGGCGGGGATAGTGTAAATGCACCTCCTCTGGCGAAGGTCCCAAACTTTGCAGGTGTTGTCTCCGCTGCCAGTAGCGATGTGGTACCTACAAATGGGGGGAGGGGGAGGAGGAAGAAGAGTGTTCTGACCCGGCTCCCCAAACACGACAAACCCTCTGAGCTGAACTCAAAAGATTCCTTTAATTAGGAGCCAGAGCAAAAAGTTTCCCTCTCACTGCAGGCTAACAAGTCTATCCGGTCTAGATGGAGTTTCGATAGCAGCAGTGGCTCTTTTGTCCCAAGGACCGGCCCATAGATTTCCGCTGCTCTCCTCTCCTCTCCTCAGCTCTCTTTCTTTTTAAATGTTTTATTAGATTTTTATTTTTAAATAGACATCAAGATCAATACATGAACAGCATGGCCCCTGGATATAATTCATTTGGATACAGATAATGATGATCATAATAGTTGTTATATTACTCAAACTTATGTAAGCCTAGTATTAATACACATGGTGTTTTTTTAAAAAGTAGTTATTCAATATTTCAGTATTCACTCTCCTCAGCCGTCTGGGCATCCATGTGTCAGACACTAAACCCAGCTGTTCCTCCTCTTCCTCATCAGCCACCTCCAGACCTGGGGGCTGTTGCCTCTCCGTCTGAGGGCTGATGGACAGCCCAGGCTCCGCCTCTGTCTGTCTGTTTGTCTGTCTCTCTCTGCCAGCTCTATTCCCTCTTCCTCCTCGGAGCTCTAAGGTTGCCTTGATCCTAAGCCTGACTCCCACGCCTCCTCCTTCTCCTCCTCCGATGTGGCTGCTGGACAGGCCACAACAAGGAGAGAACCTGGGGCTTATACTTACCCGAGGAGGGAGGGGAGTGGAAGGATGAAGGAACCAACGTTAAGAACGTAGGAGTCAGGGCAAGATGTAGCTCTTACCCGTTGGGGGAAAAGCTGACCCCGTAAATCTCTTTGAGGTGACCTTCCAAGAACATGATGCAGCGCCCGGTGCGTAGGTCCCAGACACGCCCAAAGGCATCGAGGCCGCTGGAAAAAAACACCAAAATATGTCAAACAAATACAGCTAGCCTTCAACTTACAAACATTTATCTACTATTAGAAGTTACAACGGCACTGAAAAAAGTGACTTATGACTGTTTTTTGCCCTTATGACTGTTTTAGCATCCCCATGGTTATGTGATCCCCATTTATGACTTTCCCAGGCAGTTTCCAATAAGCCAAGTCAACGGGGAAAGGCCAGGTTCGCTCAACGACCGCTTGGCTCACTTAACGATGGCAGTGATTTACGAAACCACCACGGCGAAAGGGTTGTAAAGTTACATGTGACTCACGGAAGAACCGCCTGGCTTAGCAATGGATATTCTGAGGTCCATTGAGGCCGGACGCCAAGGACTCCCTGTGGGAGGGTTCCAAGTGATGAAGGTCGGCCTGAGGAAAGTCTTCCCCACCTGGCGTGGGACCCCGTTTGGCCAAGGAAGGCCTTGGTACAGATGTTGAGGGCTTACCCAGTGCCTGCTAAGGAGCCATCGCCATGGAAGGCGATGTCGTAGACCCCTTTGCTGTGCCCTTCCTGGTGGAGAATCTCCTCTTGGGCTTCAAGGTCCCACAAACGCCAGGAGTGGTCATAGCTACAGCGGGAGAAATGAGGAAGGTTAACCTGGCAGGTCTTGTAGAGGCCCAACAAGTATTTCCTCCACGGTGTAGAAGTCTCAGTGCTATCAGTCTCTCTCTCTCTCCCTCCCTCTCTATGTCTGTCTGTCTATGTATGTATGTCTATCCATGTCTCTCTATCCATCTATATCTATCTTTATCCATGTCTATATATCAATCATCTGTCATATCTGTCTGTCTCTATCCATGTCTGTCTATGTATGTATGTCTATCCATGTCTATCTATCAATCATCCATCCATCCATCTCTTTTTATCTATCATCTCTATCAATCGTCTCATATCTCATCTCATCTCATCTCATCTCCCTCTCTCTCTCCCTGTCCTCTCTCCACCCCCCATCCATCTAGATCTGAACTGTGGTGGAGCAGTGCTTAAAATGCAGTTCTGAAGGCAAATTCTTCCCAGAGCCAGAAGTTTGATCCTGACCGGCTCAGGTCAACTCAGCCTTCCGTCTTTCCGGTGTGGGTAAAATGAGGACCCAGATTGTTGGGGGGGGGGGGGGACAAGAGGCTGACTCTGTAAACTGCTTAGAGAGGCCAGTAAAGCACGGTGAAGCGCTAAGCGCTCTAGAACTATTGTAACTATTTCCTCAACAGGTTGCTCTCTGGATGCCCAGGACCACAACTCCCAGCAAGCTTAGCTAGCTGGGCAGTGCCTGGACAATTTCAACCCTCCCCACCCCCACCCCCATTTAGCAGAGGCCTTCTTACCATGTGGTGCCCAAAAATCTGCCAGAGGGATGCCAAGTGACTCGGGCCACTCTCACCGTGTGACCTTCTATATCAGCCACCGGTTCATCGCTGGAAGAAACCCAGAATGCCCCATTAGAACTAAAACGACACCAAGCAGAACAGAACTGTGAGCTGCCTGGGGTTGTTTTGCCCAAGATGGGCGGCCATAGAAATCAAAATCAAAATCAATAAATGCTGAGGGTTTATTGGACATAGCAAACGAGAAAAAAAACGGCACAAAACCTTTCCAGGCTCCAGAGCTTGACAGATCCATCAGCTGCGCAGGAGGCCAGATTGACGTCCTTCTTGTCCAACGAGATGGTGGCTTTGGGGTGGAAGACGATGGCGCCGACGTTGGTGTTGTGCCCTTTAGGAGAGGTGAGAACGCGGCGAGTTCGAATCGTGCCCCCCCTCCCTCCTCCACCCCCCCCCGAGGATTTGCTTGCCTGGTTCTGAACCAGGCTCTTGTTTGTGGGTGCGGGTCGAGGGGAGGGGAAAGAGACGCCGGTACCTCTCAAAGTGAGGACGAGGTTGCAGTCTGGCACGGACCATATCTTGCAGAGGCCGCTCCTGTGGGCCGAAAGGAGACCACAAGGAGAAGATGAGGACCCTTCGCTGCTGTCAGGGATTCGCACTCCACATAGTCAAAGCCTCTTTGCATTGGGAATGCTTTTTTTTTTCTTAAGTAGAGGCCCTAATTTTTTCTTCTTCAATTATTCATGGCAAGTAATCAACGGATTAACGGTAAAGGTTCCCCTCCTTGCACATGCGTGCTAATCGTTTCCGGCTCTAGGGGGCGCTGCTCATGTCTGTTACAAAACCGAAGAAGAGCCAGCGCTGCCCGAAGACGTCTCCGTGGTCATGTGGCTGGCAGGACTGAACGCCTTCGAAGGCGCATGGAACGCTGTTATCTTCCCACCAAAGGGGTCCCTGTTTTTCTACTTGCATTGTTTACGCGCTTTTGAACCGCTAGGTTGGCAGAAGCTGCCGGGACAAGGAACGGGAGCTCACTCCGTGACGCGGCGCTAGGGATTCGAACCGCTTGGCTGTTCTGATTGAAAAGCTCAGCATCTTAGCCACGGCATCCCTTCATAAATCCATTAAACTAAAGGAGAACCATAACTAGACAGCAATACCACCCACACGTCATGAAGGTGCGTAGAACCTAATAAAAATCTGGATGAAATCTTAAATTAAGAGGGTCATATCAGTTGCAGATTTAGGACGATTCTATTAACGTCAGGTTTTTTTGCTTTAAACTGGGTGTCCCCTTCAACCGTTCTTTTGCCCTCTCCTGCCTGAGGTGACCCAACCCCCCCCAAAAAGACAACAAAATCCTTCTTACCAACAGGCTGTGGCCAAAAATTTGGAGTTGGAACTGAAGTGACAAAAGGAAAGAGGACGGTCATCCCCAATTTGGCTGCAGAAGTTATTCAGAGACTGGAAATGAAACCATACCGAAAGAATTAAGCTGCCAATTTTTTTTTTCCCAAAAGAAATATTTATATTGCTGGCGCATGCATGCCATGCCATGTGCCAAATCATAAATAATAACCTTTCAAAAGGATTTAAAAGGAGAGAGAGAGACAAAGAGAGGATAGAAAAAGAAAAGTAGGAAGAAGAAAACATTCATTCCTGAATGTTTCCTGTTACATCCTCAAAACCATTTATTGAAGGACTCGGAAGACAGAATTTTTTTTTAACTTTTATACAGGTAGATACAACCACAATTGAAAACAGCAAAATTTCTGTTGCTAAGCAAGATAATTGTGACGTGAGTTTTGCTCAATGAGGCTAGTAGATGTTTTTTTTTCTCCCCTAGCTAGAAAAAGCCGCTGACTAAATATGCAACATTTAGTATGCTGAGCAGATCTAGTCATGCAAAGCTTTCGTCTTTTTTGCGGGGAGGTTTTAAGCTGCAAATCTCTGACCTGCAGCATGGTAGAGAGAGACCCCTTACTCACCCTTAAAGATTTGTGAAGCTCTTGTTTCTGGGATGTCCGCGTGGCTTCAGGGACTTCCTTAAAAAACCGGGCTTCGTCTAGTCGCTTCACTGCCCTGCACAAGGACCGAGAGAAATGTGTTACACATAAAAGAGGGTATCTGTAGCTCAGGGTTGAACTGCGGGATCCTTGGTGCTCTCTGAGCTGGGTTGTTTCCTTGCAGACGTTTTGCTACCTAGCTAGGTAACACCATCAGGGCTAGGAGGGAGTGGGGTTTGTTCTCTCCCTTGCACTAATAGTCATACCGTGGAAGAGAGTAGTTTGCAATCCAGAGTCTCGCCGTCTTCAAGGTGGTTGGCCCTTCGTGGTACCAAGTCTGCTGATACTAAGAGAGACAAAGTGCAAAAAAGAAGTGAAGGCACATAGCCAGAAGCGATGTGATGTATTTTTCCAGAGAGGATTCCTATGTGTTTCCACCCTTACTGGAAAATCATGAGACATTCATTTCCACAACTGAGTTTAACTTGAACTCCGTTAATTGCTATTGATTTATGCACGGATTGAAAACTCTTGATCCCTCCTGCTCAAAGTGAGCGTTCTTTTACACATGTGTTTGGCACCATGGAAATTCAACAGAGAGGAGACAAAAAACACGAAGAAGTTATTTAAACGGTTAGCCCCATGAGAGCAGCTCTAGAACAAACTCACCTCTTCTTTGCACTTCTTGGATTTTTCATCATCCTTCTTGGTTTTCTTCAAGGCGTCGGGACCAACGACTGAGAGGATATTACGCAGCCTGGCGAGAAGGAAATGTCGATTTATTTTCAAATAAAGACGAGGAAGGTCAGTTCAACTGAAACGTATCGACTCCCACCTCTCCCTCCTTTCGGCCGGGCCTTCTCCGAACAGCGTTATGGGTTCTCCGAGCGCTCGTAAGCAGGCCTTGACCTCGGAGTCATCCGTGGAAACGTTGATTTGCCTCGCTCGTTTCCGGCGCTCGAATTCGGCCAGGACTTCCGCTTGGCGTTCACTGATGTGGTCGTCCAAGTCAAAAACTTCCCCTGGCCCGGAGGAGAAATTCAGTTATAGTTGTTATATATTATAGTTCCCACCCAAGTAAGAGACCCTACACCGTTTCTGACAAATGGCAGTCCAATCTCTTCTTGAAAGTCTCCAGGGATGGCACGTGTGCGTCCTTGATGGGAAATGGGGGGGAGAGCAGGATAACAGGTGATGAAGACCAGAGAAGCTGCATACTCCACTCTATATTTCCTGTATTAAACCCAAAGGAGGAAAAAAAACAACCCCAAACTTTGTTGCTTTCCTGGTCACTGGTCACCTTCTTACCGGTGGAGATGTTGATGTTGCCAGCCTCGATGGCCGCTTTGACGGCTTCTTTGCCCATCATCCCCGACTCCCCCTTCAGGATCCGTTCGCGCTCTTTCTCCTCCAGGCTCCCATAGAAAATGGGGGCTTTCTTAGCAGGAGGGGCATCTCCATCGTCGGACGCCTTCGTTTTGGTCCCCTGCAAAGAAAACCAAGGCGTTGACGATCCAGGGTGGTTGCCGTGGGGCAAATCCTCAGCCCAAAGGGTAGGATGGGAGTTGTAGTCCAACCTCCCGGCATACTGATGGCAGATTAAGAAGATGGCAGATTAAGAAAATTAAGAAGATATTTGGTTGATGCCTAGGATGCTGGCAGCAACCCGTATCAACCAGTGTCAGTTATGATATTTGTGATACATTTTTGAATGTTCAGTTGACTTGAGTTTCATGTTTAATGAATAATAAATATAATAATAAATATGATAATGATGATGATGATATGGTGGTGACAACCTGAATCAACCATCCGTGCTAGTCAATATTTGTGATACATTTTTGAATGTTCAGTTGACTGAATTTAATAATAATAATAATAATATATGCTGGCAACAACCCTTATCAACCATCCATGCCAGTCAATTGTATTTGTGATACATATTTAAATGTTGTTGACAGTTTCATGTTGAAAGAATAATAAATAACATAATAATGATAATATTAATAATAAATTCTTAGCAGCCTCCTGCTTGTAGTGATGAATGAAGGCGGCTGAGGATAAGAGGAGGGGAGAGTTGTATGACCCCAACCTTGGAAACAGCAGCCCTTTATCCAGCCTGGCCATGAATGGCTCTGGCTGTGGACAATGGGCACTGTAGTCCAAAGTTTGAAAGGTAACGGTTGGAAAAAAGGGGGATTTGTTTTTATTTTTTCATTTTATTCTTGGGAGGAAGGACAGCCGCCTTCCCAAACAGACCCCCCCACCCACCCCCAGCGTGTTCCAACCCCCCCCCGCTCCCCCCCCCTTGACCCACCGTGGAACCTCTCGGCGTAGCCATAGCGCCCCTTACAGCCGGTCCGGAAGGATAAATAAGCACTTCCGGGGCAACACCCTTCTGCTGGAGCCTCCTCTCTCTCTCTCTCTCCCCCCCCCCATCCGGCGGGGAGCGCCTGAGCCAATGGCGTCTCTCTGTAAAAAAAAAAAAAAAAAAAGGGGGGGCCGCCCCTGGGGGGGGCCCGGGGCCCCTTTAGGCGGGTTTCCGGGGGGGGGGGTTTTTTTTTTGGGGGGGGGGGGGAGAACTTGAAACGAAAAAGAGTGTTGCGCACGCGCACCTGGAGGTGCCGCTGGACCGGCCGGAGGATGCTGCGGAGAAAGCCGACCCGGCTGGAGCTGAAGCTGGACGACATCGAGGAGTTCGAGGGGGCCCGCAAGGAGCTGGAGGTAGGGGAGACCCTCTGGGGAGTCCCCAGCCGGAGGCTGCTCGGGAGCACTCTGCCCATGCTCAGAGACCCTCTCCCCGTGGGAAGTGCTTTTAAAGTGGTTTCAAGGAAGGGGGTGGGGTGCTTTATATAGAGAAATGACCGCGCTGATGGCCTAGGAATATTTTGCACATGCTCAGAGGCAGCCTTTCCCCAAGGATCTGCAGTTGTTAGCATTCCAGATACATTTTTATCTATCATATCTCATTTATTTATACCTACATCTATATCTCATCTAACTATATATCTCATCTATATAATCTATCAATCTATATCTCATCTATATCATCTATATATCATCAATCTCTATATCATCTATATCTCATCTATATCTGTCATCTATATCATCTATATCTATGTATCATCTATATCGGTCTGTCTGTTTGTCTATATCTATTCTGATTCTCAAGGACTGGGCTCACTGTTTTTAGTTTATTTAAATGAAGGGCAGTATATATATCCAGGTGGAAAAAATAATAAAGCATGTTACTGGTTAATGTTATTGGTTGAATATATTCCTGCAGACAGAAGATTGGAAAACTTTTTATAATGACGAAGAAAATATCACTTTATAGCCAGGAACCGAAGAGATGTACCCTTCTCCTTCTAAGTATACAAAAACAGCCCAAATGTGCTCTTTGTACCCGCGAGGATATGTTGTATTTTAAATATTAGCCTCCCTTTATATATTTGCAGGTTTTTTTTATTTTTGAATAAGCTGGGCAGGAACTGAAATGCATCTCTTTTGTCCTGGGTGCTTTCAGGAAAGGTGGAATAGAAAGAAGTTCTTTCGGGCAAACATAATTGTTGCCAAATAATCCAGAAATTGGACTTTAGGGTGGTCTTAAATTTTAACGTTTTAAAGCAAGGGTCGAATAGCTGCTGGCCAGGGATGACTGAATACAAGTCTGTTTTGATCTTGGGAATCATAAGTATATTTTCCTGAATTTTCCTCCCCCTCTTTCTGGGCCGTTTCCAAAGCGTTTGGTTTAATCAGTGAATTGAAATGTATTCCATAAAGAGTTGCTGTTGCGTTTCTTGAAGGATCTATACGTTCTTGGCTTTCTAAATTTTTTTCCCAGATGCACAAAAAGCAGCGTGAAGAAGTCGACATGGTGGGAACCAATGACGGCGAAGGGGCCCTGGCACTGAACCCGGATCACAAGAGCTGGGAACAGGTGATTCACGACCGGATCGGCTACAAACCACAGCCCAAACCCAGCAACCGTTCGTCGCAGTTTGGGAACTTTGAATTCTAGAGCGATGGGGCGCGGTGGGGTTGAACCTCTTCCATGAAGCATGCTTATGGAAGATTTATGACAAGCTGATCTACGAGGGGGACAGAGGGAGCCGTTAGGATTTTATTCTTCTGGAAGATAAAAAGACTTTTGGTATTCTCTAAAGAATGAAGTTGTGTCCTTTCTTCTCCCCCACCCTTCCCACCTGAAGGCCGCCTTCAGACCCCCTTCCTGCCTTGGATAGTTTTATTTAATCTCCCATTTGCAACCAGGGGCCTTAAATCTTTCAACAGCAGTATTAAGATTCTGGAAAGAGCTGTCTTAGCGTGTTGTGGTTAGCCGGCAGCAGGTGTGGACGGCTGAGGAGAACGAAGACTCAGATGGGGGGCCAGGACCGTCAGGGAGTAGACTGCTGCCTTCAGAGATTGTGGGGGCTGGCAGCAGTGATGAGGAGGTTCCCGAGGAGCCTGTGCCAAGTGTGCGCGTGCGCAGGGTTGCTCGTAGGAAAGAGCAGCTACAACAGCACGGAGTAAGGCTGCAAGGTAATGGCCCCTCCTTCAAGGAGATAAAAGCCAGCTGTGAATCGGACGTTCTTTGCAGGAAGCAAAGACGTTTTGAAACTCAGCCTCGTGGACATTACAGTATCTTAAGTTGGTATTTGAAGACTCTCGTGTTTTGTGAAATATTTCTTATCTGTGATTCTTGGCGGTCTTGTAGAGTTTTGGCAAGGTTTGCGCTTATCCAAGTTAATTAGCTTGCAGCAGCCTTTTAACGGGGGATTTGTAAGACTCATTAAAAGGTTTCTGTTCCCTTTGCTTATTGTTTGTCTCAGTGGAAAAGAAAACATAGCATAACCTCTGCAGGCAAACCTCCCAGATGGCCCTGGCCTCATCTCTGTGTCGGATGCAGGACCCTCATCCGAGTCCTCCCCAAGGCTGGCCCATTTTCCTCCCCACTGTCCGACTGTGCTGCCATTGGACCATAACGGGAAGTGGGGGGGTGGGAGGAGAAAGAAAGACAAATTGTAGATGATGGGTTGAGTCTCTTTATTCTTAACGAACCATATAGGGTAGGCGTAAACCCTGTGCTATAGAAGATAATAACAGCATAATCGTTCACATAATGATAGCCGATGGATCTACTTCCATCAGCTAGGGATTTAAAACAGACTTCTTATACACTACACAGCCCGATGAAGCGATACAGCTAAGGCACGTTTTTTTTTTTTCGCTTTGTTTTCATGGATATACTGTAAACGGAGGAAGACCAGAATAACACAGCTACGGAAAAACAATACTGGGTTTATGGCCAGTGAGTAAACGAGACAAGATTTTCTGTCCACAAACACTAGGGAAGGACGCTTGGCAGGCGATCTTGCAATTTTTCCCCTGCACACACACACACAGTTTTCACGGAAAATACCCAATTGCTAAAGCTGGCCTCAATCTCTATACGGCGAGGTTCACATCCTCCTATTAACCGAGGAGACGGTCCCTACTCTGGGTTTACACAGGATGGATAGAAGCAAGGCAACGGACGTGATGGGCTAAAGTTACAGAGGGAGTTGGCCACGGTTGGAGCACCGCGAAATGGGGGGGGGGATCCGTGGATCTGACTCAACTTCGCAGCCGAGATGAAACGTATCGTCGATCCAGTCTTTGTGCCTTTTGAGACCAGTGGAGAGAGGCTGAAAACTTGATTTTACAGTGAGGGGCCGGGGGGAAAAATGGCTGATTCAATGCCACCCTTTTCTTTTGTGCAGTGATTGTAGTAAGAGCCAAACAGCCTGGAGGTAGCACAATATCGTTTGGTTGAAAAAGCAAAACGCCAGACTCTTTTAATAGATGACGGAGTGACGCTGCAGGCTTTGATTTCCGCGTGGTTGCAGTTCTCCAGCTTGTATGTACTTTTCCCTCCCCTCAGGCAGTCAGTTTTTTTTAAAAAAAGGTTTGATTTCTCAGCATAAACATTAATCCGGATTCTACCCTGCTCCTCCAGGTAAGGCTGAACTGCACAGCCCAGCCGCCTCAGCCCCGCCTCTTACTTCCTTGCGAAGGGAAGAGTGCCGTCATCCCGCAATGTGAATGCTTACAGGATAATTTGGGGGGCCTTGTGGGTCCATCCAGATGTGCCTAAAGTACAGGCATGATTTAAAAACGATTCCTCCCCCTTTGCCGCTGTTTGCCACCCAGGAGATCCTGTCCCCACTTAAAGAAGGAGGGAGATAGATCACCCTGCCTAAAACGTGCACCCCAGCTGTGTTTGAAGCCACTTAAGAAGGGCGTGACGATCAGGTTTAACATTAAAAAATATATATATATATTTAGGCCAGCCTGAAAATCAGAAAAAAAAAACCTAAAAAACATTTGTACTGCAGATTTATTTAAAATAAAAATGTTTTTTTTTTTAAAAAAAATCATACTTCTTTCCCCATTATTTTTCCCCAGCGTGTCACAGTCGACAGCTAGAAAGGAGTCCTGCCAATCAGCAAATGGTTCTTTTTCACCCCAGAACAGCCATGCCAGGAGAGGCCCTAGATTTGAACCAAATCCACCCCCGCCATTGGGCAGTGGGCCCTGGGCCCCCGAGCGCAAAGCGGAGCTGACTTTTTTAAGGAAAGAGGGACGGGGCAGGATTGGCACTTGCTGGATTGTTGGTCCAACATACTGGCCTCGGAGGAAGAGGAGTGGCGGTTGCGTGTGCCTGCTTCTCGTGAAGGAAGACCAGGTTCTCTGGCCCCTCCTAGAAGAGGCCGGTGCGAAAGTCCAAAAAGAGACCTGGGGTGGCCAGGTTCAGCTCCCGCGTTTAAGTCAGGGCATAGTCCGGAAGAAAACCTGATGAAGAATGCCATGTTTCATCCACCTGTTGTTCGGAAAAGGTTGCCTTAGCTGGCCGTGGCTCAGGTGTCTTACCTCCCTCCCAAGACCCAAAGCTTTTGGGGGAAGAGTGAAGCCGGAGGCACAAGGGTGGCCCCGTGGAAGCTGGAGGGGTGTGTGTCCCCCCTACGGCTTTCCTTTGCATGTTTCTAGTAAACCTGGTCCTTTGGGGGAGGGGCTGAAACGGGAGCATGGGAGGAGGGGGAGGTTGGGAATAGCAAAGAGAACCGTTAATGGCAATGCTCCGTGATGTCAACCACGACGGCTTTTTTCCAGCTGAAGAAGAAGTAGCCTGCGCCAGCGCCGGCAGCCACGGCGATGCAGAGGTAAGCGTTGTAGGTCATGAAGATGAGCATCAGGAAGTAGCTGACCACCACCTGGAGGATGTGAAGGAGAGTCTGGAAGAGGTGAGGGAGGCTCAGCATCTGTTGGCTAACCGAGCAGAAGAAGGAAAATGAAGACGCGGGCACTTCCATTTCGTGGTTTTAGACGTAACTCGAGGCAGCGGACGTACCTAGTGCAATTCTTCCTCCCCCTCCTCCTATTTTCCTCACAACCACCACCCTGTGAGGTGGGTTGGGCCGAGAAAGAAAGACTGGCCTAAAAGTCACCCAGTTAGTTTTCATGCCTAAGGCGGGACTAGAACTCACCGTCTCCTGGTGATTAGCCCAATGTCACCTAGCCAGCTTTCATGCGTAAGGTGGGAAACTAGAATTCATTGTCTCCTGGTGCTTGGACCAAAGTCACCTAGGTGGCTTTCAAATCTAAGGCGGGACTAGAAGTTACCGTCCCCCGGTGATAGGCCCAAAGTCACCCAGCTGGCTTTTCTGCCCGAGACGGGACTAGAACTCGCTATCTCCTGGTTTCTAGCCTGCTGCCTGTGGAATGCCAACATAACACAACCTCAACTTTTGCTGAGACAGCAGATCAAGGAAAAAGTTTTAAAACGGATCAAAGGGAAACGTTTTGCACAGGCCCCCCGTTTGAACGAGGAAAGGCCCAGAAGGGCTTCCTTGTGGCTCCCTAAGAAAGCACAGCTCCTGCGTTTTTCTCACGCCACAAGAGTTTAGGTTCTGCACCTGTCCGGCTCCCCTTTCGTTTTAATTTGGCCTTGCAGCTGAACGGCCGCAGTGAGCTCACCCGACAGTTTTGTGCGTCTCCATCAAAATGGTCCCGTTGGGTCCCGGGAGAGGCATGGAGTTGTAACGGATACTGACTTGTGACTTCCGCAGGAGGCTTTCCCGGCCAATCTTCAAGCCCTCATAGAACATGGCCAGGAAGAAAATAGCCACAAATGCTCCAGCCATTTCTGAGATGAGAAAGAGATGAGGTTTATTAGATATAGGGATAGGAATAAATGTATGTGTGTATGTACATACAGTTTGGCCTACAGGTACTTTAGAAAATAGCTTGACCCCTTCCTCCTCTCTGGGGCAGCCCCTCAAATATTGGAAGATGCTCTCCTGTCTCCCCTGGTCCTCCTCTTCCCTAGACTAGCCAGGCCCGGTTCCTGCAACCCTTCTTCGTATGTTTTAACCTCCAGTCCCCTCATCCTCCTGGTTGCTCTTCTCTGCCCTCTTTCCAGAGTCTCCACATCTTTTTTATAGCGTGGTGACCATGGAAGCAAGTCGTTCCAAGGATTCCGTTGTTCCCACGGTCCAGAAATTTCCTCTTTAGTTCTGAGCTTGGTTCTCTCTCCTTGATTAGTTTCCCTCCATTGTCGTTCCAGCTGTCCCTCTGCTGCCCCCCCACAACTCACCTCCGGGTGTATTGATGACGAGCCCAGAAAACAGCAAAGGGACGTTTTGATAGCTGAAGTGAAAAGTCATATCCTGTCCAGAGAGAGAGAGAGAGAGAGAGAAAAGAGAGTCTAAATGCTATTATGAAGATCAAGGCAAAAGTTCTCAGCCTACGATTTTAAAATAGGGGTAATCCCCAATTTACAGTTATTCCTTTAAAATAGGATAGGAATAGGAATATAGAATAGCAGAGTTGGAAGGGACCTTAGAGGTCTTGTAGTCCAACGCCCTGCACAGGCAGGAAGCCCTATAGCAGTGATGGCAAACCGTTTTGTTGTGGTGTGCCGGCATCCACAATGCAATGCACCCTGACCCCCTACGCATGGGTGCGCAATACACAACCCACCCTCTTACCTGCACTGCTGCATGCAGGCACCTCCCAGCTGATTTTGGGCCTGTTTGAGGCCTTTTTTGGCCTCCAAAGGCTCGAGGGAAGCCTCTGTAGCCTTTGCAGGCCGAAAAACGGGCCTGTTTCGTCACTTGCGGTATTTCCAGAAGGCCCGTTTTTCGTCCCTCCCTCGAGCCTCTGGGTGGTCAGAAAAGGCTTCAAGCGGGCCGAAAATCAGCTGGGAGGTATGTGCAGTGCAGGTGTCAACTCTGGGATTCATCGTTGCCATAGAGATCTGGAGGGAGGAAGTGATTAGGGGAAAAAAAATGAGTTATTAGTTCAAGGTCACAGAGAGTGGCGAAGGAAAGAAATGAGAATGCAGATCATTGGTTCATGTGATTGATGAGGTGTGAAAAAGAGGGTGGAGGTAGGTGGAATTTTGTGGGATGAGCACAAACGGCTCTCTGCATGCCACAGGTTCACCATTACGGCCCTATAGCATTTCAGACAGACAAATGGTTGTCTAATCTCTTCTCAAAAAAAAAACCTCCAGTGTTGGAGCACCCACAGCTTCTGGTGGCAAGTCGTTCCACTGATGAATTGTCTTCCCTTAGCCCAAAAGCTTATACTTACCATCATCATTCCACCATGCATGTGTCCAGGGGCATTGGTGGGGTGATGGTGGGCGTGAGGATCCATAGTGGGGCTTGCGGAGCCGCTCACGTTGTGGTCCATGTGGCCCATATGGGCGTGGTGCTCAGGATGCGCCATCCGGGCTCACGAGGAAGAGGTTGAACCAGCGAATGCCTGCAAAATCCATTGACCGGGGTTAGAAAAAACATTCAGGAATTCAGGGTAGCTTTTCCGTAGGGCAACGACGAGGAATGAAAGAATCATGCAAAGCAACCATGGTGAATGGGAGGCCCTGGGTGCTCGTAGAGCCTGGCTGTTTTCTTCCAGGTGTTTCATTACCATCCGTGCACTGAAGATGTTACCTAGTTTGGTAATGAGACGTCTGCAAGGAAGCAACCCAGCTCAGAGAGCAACGGGGACCTTCTCAGTCTCCTCCACTCCACACACCCCACTCCTTTCCAGCATGGATGACGTTACCTAGTTTGGGTAATGAAACGTTTTCAAGAGAACAGCCGAGCTCAAAAGAGCACCGAGAATCTCGCATTTATTTCAACCCTGAGCTACAGATATTCTCCTCCAAAATATTGAGTCATGCCTGACCTAGATTGGATCAAAAAAAAAAAAAATCAAGACTCGGGGATCTGTTTAAAAAATCAATCTTCTGCTGAGAACCTGCAGATAAGTCTGCGGAGAAGTTGACAGCGTGAAAAAGCAAGAACGCCGCGGGCTTCGGTCGTGCTCGGGCTCCGTTTCAAACTGAATTAACTCAAAAGCCCCAAATCCGTGGCAAAACCACTTGTCGTCCTCGACAGCTCCTAATTTTATTGGAAACAGATCTCTTCAATCACATTAGGGGAAACTGTGTCTGTATAGCAGAAAGGTCTCCAGGTGCCTCCAAGCAACGGATGTCAGAACAACGCCGTTCTCCTTGGCCTCTAAACGCATTAAGGTGGAAGGGATAAGCAAGCAGAAGGACAAAATCTAATTTATTTAATCCCATCACTGGCGATCACCGGCCTCAAACTGGAGAAAGAATAAAATAAAAGCAAATTGCTAAAGCTTAGCCCACGGCAAGCGGGTGAGGTGACAGGAAACTGAACAGAACTTGGAAATTTTTGCCACCAGCTCCTCCAACCTACCCTCCATCCTTCTTTCTTCCTTTTTCTTTCTTTTCTTCCTCTTTCTTTTACTTACCTCCCTCCCTCTCTCTTTCCTTCCTTCCTTTCTCTCTCCCTTTCTTTCTTCCTTCCTTCCCTCTTTCTTTCTGCTTTTCTTTCTCCCTTTCTTTCTTCTTCTTTCTTTTTCCTTCCTTCCTTCCCTTCTCCTTCCTTCCTTCCTTCCTTCCTTCTTTCTTTCTTTCCTTCTTTCTTTCTTTCTCTCTCTCTCTCTCTCTCTCTCTCTCTCTCTCTCTCTCTCTCTCTCTTGCCTTCCCTTCTCTTCCCTTCCTTCCTTCCTCTAATGGTTAAGGTGAACATTAACCAGCAGATCCTTCGTTTATAGCTTCCTGGACTTTGAAGTTTGGAAACCTGGAAAGGATTCAAAAGACAGGACGACCTGATGTTATCGTTAATGACACAAATGGGAGTTTCGTTACAACTCTGTTCATAGTTACAGACAGGTAGACAACCCTGGTACAACCAGACTCCATAAAGTTACAAAGACTCAGGAGCAAATGTGAACAGAAACAACAAAATGAAAATAAAAGCCACCGCTAGCTACCACGATGGGCTAATTCAAAACATGGCTTGCTTTGGAACCGAGTGTATTATTATTATTATTATTTTTTGGGGGGGGGGGACAGTAACCTTTTCAGCGCAATTGATTTGAGCTTTTTTAAAACAATAAACAAACTGGTTTACAGCCAGGTTGGACACAATTTGAGCCAAAGTTTGCTCTTTTGAAACAAAAAAATAAAACGGAGGTAATTGCTGTTATGGGTACTCAAAAAGCATCTCGCAACCAACAGGTTTTATATAACATGCTCATCTTGATGGCCGATTTACCTCTTTGGAGGATTGGCACAATCTATTGTCAAAGGACCCCCACAGGCTGCCCAGCCACAACACACCAAAGCGGTTTTAAAACTAACCACGCTGATTTACCCAGCTTGGATAATGAAACGCCTGCAAGAAAACCACCAAGCTCAGAGTGCACCAAGGACCCTATAGTTGTTGTCCTCCTCCTCCTCCTCCTCTTCCTCCTGCTTTCCACACACCACATTCCTTTCTAGCAGTGATCTTACCTAGTTGGGTCATGAAACGTCTGCAAGAAAAAACACCAAACTCAAAGCTTCTGTATATAAACAGAGAGAAAGTCCCAGTCCCTTCTAACACTGATGACACTACCCAGTTGGGTCATGAAACGCCTGCAAGAAAAACCATCCAGCTCAGAGAGCACCAAGGACCCCTCATGTCAACCCCCAGCTACAAATATTCTCCTTTATCGGTGAAGTTTCTTCCCAGCATGCAATGCAAGAGTCCTGTCCTTTCGACCATGGGGCATTCTTCCCTTCAAGATCTCTCGGTCTAACCACACGGCAAGGATGGGTATCTCTGCTATCGGTCAGATTTTATTAATTCCTCCAAAACTGATTTTTCTTGTTCTTAGCAATTGCCTTTTGGCACCTGATAAAACAAGCTAGGTGTTGTTAATGAATGTCTTCAGGGCTGAGAGGGAAAACATTCCAATATTGGTTTGGATGATAAACCAAATCCTAAGCAGATCTTCTAGATAAGCTGATCCCTCCTGCACAGGCAAATCCTTGACTTAATGACCGTCGTTCAAAGTTACAACGGCACGGAAGAAAGACTCCCGCACGGATACGTGATCAAAGTTTGGCGGTTGACAATCGGCCTGGACTTATGATTCCCCGAGTGGCGTGATCCACTTTTGAGACCTTCCCAGCCAGCATCCAACAAGCAAAGGCAAAGAGGGAAGGCCAGATTCCCTTAAAGACCGCACGATTCATTTAAAGACTGCAGCAATTCGCTTACAACCCCCCCGCCCCCCAAAAAAAGGTTGTCAAATCGGGTGCAACTCACTAAAAAAGCATCCTGCTTAGCAAGAGAAACTCTGTTCCCAAGTGTAATGGTGTCACAAATGCTTGGGCAGGCGGTTGGACTAGATGATCTACAAGGTCCCTTCCAACTCACTCACTCACTCACTCAATCTAATCCATCTAATCTATCTATCTTAACTACCTACCTACCTACCTATCTATCCTCTACTTTCTCTATATCTATATTTCGACTCCTACTTGCTCATTTCAACAGCTAGCCAGTTTTTTTGAAACAGCCTCTTTATGATCGGTGTTCTAATACTGAGACCATATTTTTTTTTATTAAAAATAAACACACTGAAATTGATTGGTTTTCCCCCGCTCCTCCAGTGCAGGGAATCTGTTCCAATTCTTGAATATCTGTAGAAACCGAATCCATATATATATGGATGAATCCATATATATATATGAATAAAATAAGCAAATATATATATATATATTTGCTTATTTTATTCAGGATATGTACGTTGCTTTCTTTCCTGTACACCCAAACTGTCTAGAAACTTAAAGGGAACTTCAAAAGGCCTGTTTGTACTCATGGCACACCAACAAAGCAAAAATCTGACTGGGTGTGCAGAAAGTTTTGGGGCCAGTTGAACGAGGTCCCTGGATCGCGGCCAATTTACTGATAAAAGGGACAGAAACGGAACACCACCCGCGTGTAATTTCCCACCGCGAAGTTGGCCTTAAGGAAAAAAAAAACTTTGTTAGTCCAAACCAGGCACGTTAAGGAGATTACAAATTTGAGAAAGCTTTTCCTGGCCAAGTTACACCTGTTTCAGGTGAATTTACACTCCTGGTTGTCACCTGCAAATGCCACTAACAATAGGAGGGTCTCGTCTTTCAGACAAGAAATTTTAAACAAAGGACGAAATAGCAGCCGAGCTTAATTATGAATCTCCGATGCTTTCGAGAAGAACAAGAGGCTAATGGGATAGATTGATTTGCTGCCTGGACTTATTTATAGAAATAATAAAAGCAGGATGCAAAGAAGTAAATCAAAATAAACACAGTTCTACAACTGAACCTCAAACAGCACCTTGCATATTTCTCTTAATACTTTCGGGGGGGCAGGGGGAATTATATTTATTTCGCAGTACTGTCTGAACTCTAAAAGAGGAAACCCAAGGCTATTTCATTAACGCTGGCATGCCACTTGCAACCAAACCTCCAGACCTCATGAAATCAAAATCCATTTATTCAATTTCCTAGCAGCCTCTGCCAAGCAGAATGGTTTCCAACGGCGTACTTTTTCAACGTACAATTGTTCCAATTTAGCCACCGTTCGAAGCCACATCAGCACCAAAAAGAGGGACTTATGACCAGTCCTTGCACTTCTGACCCACCCAGCATCACACAACCAAAATTCAGGGACTTGGCAACCAGCTGTGCATTTTTATGACGGTTTTGCCACATTTCAGAATCATGCAATTGCTATTTGTGGGGTTCCCAGCTGGAATCTGACAAAGAAAGTCCATGGGAGATTCACTTAACAATGGCAGTGATTCGTTTAATGACTTGTGGTTAGGCGGCAGCAGGTACGGACGGCTGAGGAGAGCGAGGACTCAGATGAGGGGCCAGGACCATCAGGGAGTGGACTGCTGCCTTCGGAGATTCTGGGGGCTGGCAGCAGCAATGAGGAGGTTCTTTTGGAGCCTGTGCCAAGTGCGCGCATGCACGCAGGGCTGCTCGCAGGAAAGAACAGCTGCAGCAGCAAGGGCGACTTGGGAGTAAGGCTGCAAGGTAATGGCCCGTCCTTCAAGGAGATAAAAGCCAGCTGTGAATCGGACGTTCTTTGCAGGAAGCAAAGACGTTTTGAAACTCAGCCTTGTGGACATTGCAGTATCTTAAATTGCTATTTGAAGACTCTTGTGTTGTGAAATATTTATCTGTTATTGTCGGCAGTCTCGCACTTTTGGCGAAGCTCGTGCTTATCAAAGTTAATTAGTTTGCAGCAGCCTTTTAACTGGGGATTTGTAAGAATCGTTACCATGTTCCCTTTGGTTCGTGTTATTTTATTGGAAAAGGGTTTGGGTCAGAACATGACTGTGGTCAAATAGAGTATAAAATCAGGTGGGACTTGCTTAGCACCTTGGATATTTTTGCTCTGAGTTTGTAGCTGTTGAGGAGTACTCGCTCCTGGAAGAGGCTGCACCCGCTTGTAACTTTACGCACATAGCTTTGATCTCTTTGTTCCTTTGAATTTATCTTGCTTCTCCCTTGATTCCCTTCCTGAAACTCCACTGAGTTTGTGTGTTATTTTGCCCCTTTTCTCTGCAAGACCTCTAGCCACTCCCTAAAAATGGAATATATGCGCATGACTTTTTATGCCTATATTGTGTTTCGGGAGTGACTAGAAACCCTCTGCATTCAGAAGTTACCAGGCTGAGACAAGAGCTGGGAGATGTAGAAAGAAAAACAAAGGAGAGAGTTAAATCTTGATTACGTGAGAGAAATCTTGATTACGAAAGCTAATTATGACAATTATAACCTTGAGTGCTTTTGTGAAAGAGTTTCACACCCCTGCCCGTCACACCAGCAAGGTGTGTATTCTTTCAATCCTAGGGTACAAACTGTATGTCTTTCCTAACAGTTTCTGACACATTCATTCCCTTTTCAACCCAAATCCCACCCAAGAATGAGAAGATCTGGGAAAGAAATGAGAATATTTAATGGTCATCCAACAGGTAATATAGGCAGTCCTCAACTTAGGACCTGTTTTTCACACGTGGCCCTTGGAGCAAACCCCCATGGTCACGGGATCAAAATCCAGACGCTTGGCAACTCACTTGTACTTATGACAGTTGCCTTGTCTCGGGGTCATCTTTGGTCACCTGATAAGGTCAACACGGAAGCCCGACTCACTTAACCACTACAGTAAGGAAAGCCGTAAAATGGAGCACAACTCATTGATCAACTGTCTCACTTAACAACAGAAATGTTTGGCTCAACTGTGGTCATAAGTTGAAGACTATTTGTTTCTTTGGCAAACTCTAGTTGCAAAAAGAGAGAGAGAGAGAGAGATGATATAGAAATATAGAGATAGCTAGATATTTATATAGATAGCTAAGTAGGTAAGTTAGCGATATAGGTATAGAGCTAGATGATAGCTAGATAATATATATATAGGGAGGGAGAGGAAGGGGAAGGGAGAGATGATACAGAAATATAGATAATATATAGATAAGAGAGATAGATATATGTAGATATACAGAGATAGATAGATGATAGAGGTAGAGATAGCTAGAGACAGCTAGTATATCTATATACTCTATATTCTATAGAAATATAGAGATAGATCTATCCATAGAGATAGTGATAATACTTATATAGATAGGTAAGTAGGTAAGATAGAGAGAAAATGAGAGAGAACGTTAGAGGTAGATAGATATGGTAGATAGATAAACCCTCTCCTGCCCTGTTTTGCTAGATCAATACTCTGTCTATCACGCTTCCAGGTCTGGGAGTTGGCAGCCTCCGTTGTGTACCGCCAGAAGTAATCATTAATGGAGAAATTGCACTGGTTTTAAAGTCCCTCTATTTCTTTGGTGCCATCACAGAGAGGTCAGGCTACTTGGAAATACTGTGTGTGTGTGTGTGTGTGTGTGTGTGTGTGTAGTTGCCCAGGATAAAAAAAAATAGCTGATCCAGGTACAGCTCTGCATCTCAAACTAGAATTCTCTTCCAAAATAATCCCGGCATTATTCTAGTTGCTTGTTCGGTAAAGCCACTTGATCCATCGGTCACAAGATAACCTTGGCTTGGCAGGTGGAAGGAACACCCAACCGAGGTCATCTGAAATTGGTCCGGAAGTTATCCGAGGACGCTCCGACAGTGAACTTTGGCATTGCCAGCATCTGATAGCCTTTGATTCAAGGTGGTGCAGAAATATTTCCCGCAGAGTTTCACATACCAGCAATGTTAACACTCCCCGCACCCTCCACAATCTTAATGCCATGTCACAAAACTACCCAGCAGATGAGACATCTGGAAAAAAAAACCCACCCTTTTAACACTACTTCAGAAAGCCCAACAAACGTTTAAATAGAGTTTAATGCAATAAAGTCATATCTTGTTTAGAGCTAAGCTTCTTCTACCTTCAATAAAACAACCCTGGCTTTTAAAACAAACAAACATATAACAAACTATTTTTATTTATTTTGACACTCCCTTTGTTTAACTCCTAGCTTATGATAATCCTAGGTTTAGGCTCCTTTTCCGTTCTATTCCCTTACTTAGAGTATTTTTTGCTATATAACCATGTTCCCATTTATCCCACATATAGTGTCTCTCAACCTTGACCTTAAGAGGTGGAACTTCAATTCCCAGAATTCCCCACCCAACAGGTAGAATTCTGGGAGCTGAAGACACACAGAGTCCTGCTGAAGTTTAGCAGGCAGGTCTCGTCTTCAGGAACCTGACAGCACAGAGGCAGGTACATTTTACATTTTCGTTTACCTTTGAGATGAAGGAATGGAAAGACGGTGCTTCCAGCAACGCAGCGAGTCACTTGCAAATAAATAATAGAGAATTTCTTCCTGGTTCCTGTTCGGGGCAATTCCAGTAACACCCACTCAGCTTTTTTTCCAAATCCTCCACACAAAATATTGGTGTTTGCTCACTGCCCATCAGGAAAGGGAAGGAGGAGAGGGGAGAAAAACAGAAAACAAACACAGATTATTTACTCAGCAGAAATGCCACTCTGAAAGCTTTTGAAACAAGAGACGGCTGCAATGGAGGGAGGGCACTTTGGGGATTTCAGTTTGAGCGAACACACACAGCCTAAGATCAGAGAGATTGGAGTGGGTCAATAACCCAAGAAAGGCAAAAAAGAACAACAGGGACAACCTCGATGCCAGGGTTTTGACGCAGCAGCTAAAGCAACAGGCCAAAATGGCCAGCCCATACACTGCAACCATCGTTAAGTACGAGTCAGTTGCCAAGCCATGGCTGAATTTTGGTCGTGTGGCCACAAGGATGCTGCAAGGGTCGTAAGCGTGAAAAGATGGTCCATAAGTCACAATTGTTCAGTGCTCTTGTAACATTGAACAGTCACTAAACCAATGGTTGTAAGTCAAGGACTACCTCTAGTTTTTTCCCACCCTCTCTTTTTTTGCTACCACGGGGCTTCTGCCAAGTTCTGGGAGCGAAGCTTGATTTACAACAGTTCATTCACTAAAATTTCATGGCTTACTATGAAGTCAAGAATGTCCAACCTTCGAAACAAGCTTCCTGGGGTTGGTCAGCCTCTGAACGCTTCCCTAAAAAACTTGGGTTTCAAAGGTGTGCAAGGGTTGCACCAAAGGGTGAAAACCACACTGCTTGTGCGATGGGCAGGAAATATCTGAACTGAGACAAGCCTTTTCGTTTTTACACCATTTCGTATTTACACCAAAGACAAATTCCTTGTGTGTCCAATCACACTTGGCCAATAACGTATTCTATTCTATTCTATTCTATTCTATTCTATTCTATTCTATTCTATTCTATTCTATTCTATTCTATTCTAATTCTAATTCTAATTCTATTCTAAATCCACCTGCCCTTTGAACAAGGCTCTGGTTTCCTCCCTCTCTGATAAGGGGGAGGAGGGGATTAGAATAGTTTTTTAAACCGGTGTTAGAAGGAGATTGTTTTTATTACCCTTAAGAATAATTACATTCACAGAGGAGAAAAAGACTTCAAGAAAAGAGAAAGGAAAGGAAACAAGGGAAGAAAAAAGGAAAGAAAGGGAAGGAAGGGAGAGAGAGAGAGAGAGAGAAAGAAGGAAAAGAACTGCTCAATGCCAAGAGAACTCCCAAGCCAGTTTTGTGCCCAAAGGCCTCTTAAGCTAGTCAAGAAGCTGGCTAAATGCCCGGGAAAAAAAGACATCCACCCACCCACCCACCCGGGGTGTGAGTCTCCAGCTACAGCCCAATTTCACAAACTGCAGCCGGAGCCTACAAAAAAAAACCCCCACAAAAGGCTAAAACTCTCTCAGCAGCCAGCTGGACATGACCATCTTGGAAGGGAGGAAGAGGCTAAGCAGGGATGCGTGGAATGTTTGCTTAACTTGGCTTGGCATCCTCTCCAGAAAAATCTCCAGCAGTTCTCAAAGGAAAAACATCCCAGCGCCACTCCTTGATTGAACAAGGCGGGGGGCAAAAGATCCGTGGATTGATTTCTGGAGATTGGGAAGCATCTCAGCCAGGAAGGAGAGCAAAAAAAAGATCAACAGAAATCCCAGGAGTTTGGCAATTTGGCTCTGGGAATCTATCTATCTATAATTCTATTCTATTCTATTCTATTCTATTCTATTCTATTCTATTCTATTCTTATTCTATTCCTTGTTCTATTCTTTCCTATTCTATTCTATATTCTATTCTATTCTCTATTCTATTATTTCATATTCTATTCTCTATTCTATTTCTAATTCGACCTCAAATTCTATCCATCCATCCTACCCACCCACCGGTATCTATCAAGAGGATCCAGACCCCCAACTAAATTTACTTCTCTTTCCCATCCTGCTGTCCCCCCTTCTCTCAAGCCATCTAGGTTATCCACACCCCCAACCCCTGAAAGCCCCCTCCTCCAATCTGTGCTTCCTTCCATTTCTCCCCTTTGATCGTTTTCCCTTTTGGCGCTGGAAGAGACCGAGGTTACAGTACATTGCATATAAAACAGGGAGGAAGGAAGGAAGGAAGGAAGAGAAAAAGAAAGAAAAGCAAAGAGAGAAAGAGGGGAAG